TGTTTACGGGAGTGAAAAGGAGTATGGTTGCGCATGACTTGGGATACTAATTTCTGTTGAGTGTAGTCCTGATGAGCTCCGCGCAAGATCGAGCCACAAACAATCCTTTAAGCGTACTCTATTCGATCTGCCTTATCTGTTTATAGTCTGCGAACAGAGTATTGCACAGTCGACTGCAACTTTCTTTCGCTTTCCGCCTTGGCTAATAAAAACGCGTCTGTTCCTTAGGCGCGCACTCTGTAGCTGTAGCTGTAGCAGCTGCTGGCCCAAAAATCTGCTGCAGCCGGAATGCTTGGTTTTTAGAGCTGCTTGGGCGCCAAAATGGACTGAAACTGTTTGTGCCATGCTATACGCTTTTGAGTGCTTTATGGCCTAAACGTGATTTTCAGCTTGTCTATTAAACATTTTGCAGGAGTTTTTCTCCTTCTGCCAGCTGCACGTTGGCTTCTATCTGTCTGCCTTGGCCTTGGCTTTCTCTGGCGGCATCTCTGGATTCGGCTGCACGTTTGGCATTTGGGCAACAATTGTTGAAACATGTTGTCATCCAGTTAGTTAGTTGCCATGTTTGGCATTGTTTTTGCTACCGCTGCCTGCTGCCTGCTGTTGTTATTGAGTTTAGTTTTCCGTCACGAATTAAGTGCGAAATGCTGCTGTTAGCAGAGCGCTTGAGAACTTTACATGAACTTAGTGTAACACGTAGTTTACGCTACAAAATGGAATTTATAATCCGTGCAAATTCATTATTAAAATGAAAACAATTAATGCTGAAATTACTTCAAATGAGCAACTCTGAAGACATGAATCTAGAGATTCCGTTGGGCGACAATAAATTGTACTTGAATATTTAAATTATTATTATTTAAATTTTTAGCTACAATCAAAAAATTATAAATTCAATTTGTAAAAAACCTTCACCGATCATCAAGTTAGAGGATCAAACCCCAATGAAGACAAAAATACAAGAGAATATATAGTAAATAATATATCACTGGACAGGGATCAAATCTCTGTGAATATAGAAACAAATTTGAAATTATACAATTAAAAATTGATCACAGAGTACATAGTTTAGGGACGAAGAGAAAACATTTAACAAAAGTAGAAAGAAATGTATAATTGAGCGCGAAGTTAAGGGATCGAGCCTACCTAGAGAATAAAATATCTAAAAACATTTAAAAAGTTATTCCTCAACAAGCATAAAGTTAAGGGTTCGCGGCTTTTCGAAGGCAGAAAAAAATCTAAAAACATTTATAAATGTATATCTCAGCACAAAGTAAAGGGATCAAACGCCCGAAAAGACAGTAATATCTAAGAACATTTAATTTGTTATTTATCGCTGAGCACGAAGTTTAGAGCTCAAACAACCAAATATCTTATTTATTTTATTTAAATTTTCCAGTGAGTACCACTTCAAGGTGGCACTGCAACAGCGTTGATTGTTGCGTGAGTTCGACTGCAGCAGCGCATAAATCAAATGGCCAAAGTAAATATCCGCTTTAATGCTAAACTAGCTGGACGTGCCTTTTGGACAAATGAAATGCAGTGAAAGTTCATAAATCAGAGGCAAACAAACATTTTTGGCCAGAAACCACTTCAATATTTCAAATTGTGCAGGTCCTTGGAAACACCGCGACGATTTCTCACGTGCAGGTTGCGCAAAGAAATGCGCTGGCAAACAAAGCAATGGCCCGTCAAGAAGGCAACTTCTTTTGGCCCGGTTGCGTTTCAGGTGAGGCTTTAAGCATAATGAAAATTAACTTGCGCCAAAATGCATTTTCGGGCGAGTCATGGCCATGTGCCACGCCCCTGATTGTTGCAGTTTTAACATTTGCTCACGCGATTCTACGGTTTCCAAGCGCACCATCAATTTTATGCTGGCAAACACTTTGGTTTTGTTTGTCGCACGGTTAACAGGTAACAGGTAATTGCAGTTTGCGGTGCAATATTGCAAAACTTGGTAACGACAGTAAACGTGAACGAGGCCACAAGCTGTAATAAGTCAAATGGCCGTAAGCAGATACCCTGTAACTCGTTTAATGGGTGGAGTGAAGAATCAGGGTGCATCTAGCTTACGCTAACAATATACAAGAAACAGTGCGGGCAGCTTTTAAAGCACATAATAGCTTTATGAATTAAGTAAATTTAATAAATCTCACTTTAAGCTCAAGTCCAAAATACTCAATCAGTTCAAATAGTCGCTTTAAGAATACATAAGAGCTTCTTTAATTGACTAAAAACTATAAAGCTCGCTTAAAGCTGGCTGTAAAAGCACAGTAAAGCTTCATCATTGAAATGAATCTGACTTAAAGCTTAATTCTACAACTTACAACCACGTAAAAAAAAGCATAATCTTTTTTAAAGTTCAGCAAAAAGCACATGAAAGCTCCAGTCTTTGACATAGAATATTAAAGCTCATTAATAGCTTTAATGTAAGCTAAACGTATTAACTAAACTAAAGTTTAGAGCTCAAATAAACTTTAAGAGCTTGACAACTATATCTCTTTCTAGGATGTTGCAAGTGTTTCTGTTGGATCTTATCTTTCGAAAATTATTAAAAATTATTATAAAATTAACGGCGGTCTCTCTTTTAATTTTAATATTCAATTTAGCGTATCAACTCATCGAATAAATTCATATTTGCAGATACTCCACTCACATCTGTCGCTACCCCATATATCTATCGTTTACAGGGTATAATTATGCTGCACTCAATTTAATTACGTTGCCAAATGGCGTGACTTTGACTCGTTGGCAGCCTTTGCCGGGAATTGTTCACTGGCTTTTATAGGGCCACAAGTCGATGCTTATTAAAACTTAACACTTTTGGTGCGCGTGCCACGCCTCCAGGCAGTGGGAGTGGGCGTTGTTTTAGTTAACTGCTCCCAGGCGTCATTATTGCCATACTTATTGGTATTTCCAACTTTGGGCACCCCAGAGAAGGGTGTCGGGTGGCTAGGAGGGGTATTTGGGGGAGGGGCCGGGTCAGGTGTTGTGAAAACTTCTAGATTTTCATTTTCGATGAGTGGCGCAACCATTTACGAATATTGCAGCAAGTTATGGTCCTGTGAGAGGTGGAGTGGTGAGGGGGGGGGGGGGGGTAGCTAATTGAACTTGTTGATGATGGCGGGAAATATTGCCGCAGGTGGCAGGTGGCAGGTGGCAGGTGGCAGGTTTCACTTTGCATTCTCAAAATGCACACACACACACAGATTGAACAAGTGCTGCGTTAATTGATGTCAAGTGTGAGCTGCTGTGCGAAATACACGTAAGTTGCTCACCTGTTTGGGCGAAGCCAACGGGAAATGAGCTGCCGCTGGCAATAAAGAACATTAAATGCTTATACAATTTTAATGGCTTACATCTGCTTGGCTCCACTGTTCTCAGATGTCTAATTGATTCCGTTTACCAATCACACTCTATAGTTTCTTTTTGGCCAGAGCAGACTTTTCTCAAAAGAAAATATTAGAATAGAGTGTATATGGAAGCTAATAAAATATTAGGCTCCAGATCAAGCACGCAAATATGCTGGCTATTTCTTATTATGCCAAACACTGTAACCTTTTTGACTTTCTAAAAATACCAGACTGTCTCGGTCTGATTCGAAGCCCGAGTACTTAGCCGCTGCACTAAGCTACATTAAGTCTATAGCTACACCTAAGGCTCCACAGGCCGGTCGCCCATGGCATTAATAACAAGTAAGCCATTTAAAAATATGACGCATAAAATGGAGCTTAAGGAATCAATAATAACCAATTAGGCAGCAACGTTCCAGAATAGCTGCGGAATTAATTAACGCATCACTAGCAGCAGCATAAACCAAGGCAAGGAAGCCGGACCAGGAGCAGGAGCAACAAAAGGAGCCGCAGCAGCAGCACAAACAAAGCCCTGCTACAGGTGAACAGTGGGCCATAATTAATATTTTTTTGCTCACTTTGAGCTGAAGCTGACCAGTTGAAAGATGAGCAAAAACAGCAGCCAAAGTAGCCTTGGGACAAAGGTTTCCCAGACAACGACTAAGCGGCAGTAGGAAAAAAAAATTAAATTCAAAGACAAGTGAAAAGCGGCAAAGGTTTGTCACGACTCTCTAATACTCTGTGCAGAATTTAAGAGTTAAAGACAAAAGATTCTTAAAATGTGAGTATAAGGGCAAAGATTATAAAAATATAAGAAAAATATTTGATCATGTTTTGTATATCCTTGTAGAGGGTGTGATAAGTTTGTCATGAAATGTGGGGTATTAAATATTCGACAGGTCAAAGATATCCTTACAGTATAATAAAAAATCCACAAATATTTAAATTTGCATGTGGCATTAATAAAAAGCACATAACAGGGCCAATATATGTTTAAATTATTCAAAGTACTTCAGTTTTGACAAAATTATGGCCGCTTGAAGTATTGGTAGGGTATTTAATGGTACTTGATTTTAAGTCGAAATTTAATAAATTTAATAACAAAGAGAAATTACATTAAAGAGGCGCCTCACAATAAATTTGGCAGACAATTGATAAAAAGAAAATTCTAAATAAATACGAAAGTTTAATTTGCCAAATTCATAAAGTGCTTTACATTTCCCATAAACAAATATTAAATTATTAAAGTAAGTGTCATTGAACAATGAAATCTGTCTAGTTTTAGTTAAGTTTGGAGTTTATAATCAGGGAAGGGTATGATTAAGAAAACAAGTCATGAAAAGGGGATCCATCATACAAATCGATTCAGCACCGGTAAATTATTATTTCATAGTCTAACAATGTTATTTATGTAATTTCGATAAATGCTTTTCCGCATACTGTTTGGCCCTAAAATTGAACTCAAAGCAGACCAGCTTAGACTTAACTTTCACAATTTTTAAATGACGTTCAAAGAGCCTGAACAGTAAACTGATGCGGCCCACTGTGAAGCCTGGGCTAAAATGTTGGCTGGCAAATTATGGTTGAAAGTGGCAGCAACTGTGATTATGAGCGAGGCGAACATTTGCAGGCACTGTACACACTTACCTGCGCTGATATGCGTCCCTTCTTCAGTCGCGTGAGATCCGTGTGGCTCCAGTGGCTGCGCGCCCAGGGCACAACGTTGCGCAAGTCCTCATCAAAGCTGGCAATAGAAAAAAAAATTAGAGAAAGTAAGCCAAAGTTCGTTTAAAAATATTAATTGCAGTTGCGTATTGCAGAATTGCGCTCACTTGAAGTCGTTGAGTTTGTTATGCAGGAACTTGCGTATATTCCAGGGTAAATCGTTATGCCCATCGATTAAAGGCACTTGATCCAAGAGCTGCACAGCGACGCGTAAGCGCTCCTCAAAGGGCGCACCTGAAAGGCGAAGAGAGCGAAAGGGAGAGAGGGAGAGGGAAGGTTCATAAAACCGAGTTAGCAGCAGCTACTAACTAACTTGAACGCATTAGCACGACACACAAAGATACCAACACTGCCAGAGACTGGGTGCGTCTCTTGACATTTTGAGCTTTGGCTACGTGTCGTATGCGTTATGGTAATTGATTTATTGTCTGGATAGCTGAAAGCTGGAATCTAGTCTAGGAGCAAGCTCTCTACTCACTTGCAGCAACACGTAGCGCCAGGGGCACAGCCACGCTGGCAGCGCCAATTATCAAGAGTATCGAGCTGACTGCCAGCCAATGCTTGGCCGCATCGAAGCCTGCACAAATGTTACGTATACGCAGCGTTGTACGACCAGCAGCAGGAACAGGAGCAGCATTCATGATGACCAGCCACAGCGATTGTTGTTCATGTTGTTGTTGTTGTTTTAGTCGTCGTTGTTGGCAGTTCAATGCCAAGTCGTTTGTTGTGCAGCCGGAGAGACGTCGTCATCATCATCATCAACATCATCATCATCAGCAGCAGCAGCATTGTCGTTGTTTGTGCGTTGCATTTTGTGTGCAGGGAGGGGTGTGCGAGTGTGTGTGTGTGTGTGTGCAAATTGCCGTGACAGTGGCATTGATTACAGCAACAACAACAACAACAACAAAGACAAGTCGATCGGTTTTTTTTCATCGTATTCCCATCATTGGGCAAGCAGCGTAGTTGTAGGGATAATAAGGAAATATGGTTAGTTAAACGTTTAAAATTGAATTGCTTAGTTGGTTTTACTTTACAAAAGACGAACAATTTCTTGTTAACTGAGAGCTGAGTCAAGTTTTATGAACCATGAAATGAGTTGTGTGTGTGTCAGTAGATAAAGTGCCGATGTTGGCCATGAGCATTGCTTACAACTGACTTATTAGCTGCATTATTATGCAACTCGAAAGACTTAAGTGCTTTTGTGTGCTATCAGTATCAATGAAATGAGTTGAAATTAAATTAAGCCAATGGAATTAATCACATTATTATGTCTCAAATAAAATCTAGCCATTGGGAATAGTAATTTGCGGAATGCTGTGGATTATATATGCTTGGAAACAGCTGTTTCTATATGTATATATATATATTTCTTGAAATTTTAATTTTTCTCTTACTGACTGCGATGTTAGATTCCCGGTTAACTAGGCTGTTAACTCGCCTGTAAACTGGGCTGTTCACGCGCCTGTTAATTGGGCTCTTAACTCGATTGTCAATTTGGATTCTAAGTAAGATTTAAGCCCCGATATTAGCTCGCCTGTTAACTCTGTGGTTAACTCTGATATTAGCTGAGCTCTTAACTGGAATGTTAACTGGGCTGTTATTTTTTTCGATAACTAGGTTGTTAACTGGCCTGCTTACTTGTCTATTATTTGGGCTAATAACAGGCCTGTTAACTGGGCTATTAGCTCGACTGTTAAATTGTCTATTAACTAATATGTTAGCTGAGCTGTTAACTGGAATGTTAACTAGAAAGTTAACTGGTCTGTTAGATTGTTTAACTCGGCTCTTAACACTCATCAACAATTTATATGCACTTTTTGGTTTCAGAATTGTGTCCTTGAATTTGTTGCACATTTCTGGACAAATTTATAATACTCTGTTGGCTTAAATAAGAAGTAGAAACTAAGCTGATGCAAATGCGAATCACATTATACGATTTGGTTTGGGTGCTCAGATACTTGTATCAATAGCAAGTGCTCAATTTTAATTGCAAGCCAAATTCGATTATGCAGCTTAGCCATTTGATAGGGCAGCTAAGCAAACAAGTCAGCTGAGGCATGAAACTAGCTCAGTTCAGTTCAGTTCAGTTTTTTTTTTCTGCATCCGCTTGATTATGGAAAGCTCGACACTCGCAGGACTCGGTCTCTGGCTCCAAAGTGAATTACCGATAAGCAAGTTGCAAATGGAGAGCATGTGCGGCAGCCGGCAGCCAAATGTTGCAGCTGCCGCTGCCAAAGTGGCACGTGAAGCGGGCGGCGGGGCGGCCATCAGCGATTTGCATAAATTTAACATGACAGGACATCGCCGGCTACGCAGTTTTTGGACGGGGGGCGACTGACTAACGAACTGCAGTTGGCCAGAGACAGAGAGAGAGAGGGGGGTAGACACTATGCGCCCCTTTCAGACCACACGGCTGCTGATGGGCACTTGATGAGGAGGACAAAGTCACGCGGGCATTGGCAACGTTTAACATTAAGCGGCCATGTTACATGGGACGCAATCAAACGGCTAACGACTAAATAGAATTGTGTGCCCCAAGTGGGGAGCAGCTGCTGCTGCTGCGGCCAGCACAGACAAGCGCAATGTCAGGTAACAACAAACCAGGGCTGCATGCCAACAAATGAACTAGTTCAGAGTAGGTTTCTAGAGAATTGCATGAAATGTGGCTTGTGAATTGGCAAATGAACTGCCCTGTTTGATTTAGAGAAAGAGATCAATTGATTGCCGACAAATAAGATAAATACTTATCTGGGGTTTGACTCAGCTTAACATATATGTATATGTATATATATATATATAGAAGTGAGCAGCTAGTTCCTGTTCTTGATTGGGCCTAGTTTGGATAGCATGTTTTCTACCATTTTTTGTGAACATAAAATATAAATCAATTATCCAACTCTCAAAAAAATAAAAAATAATAATACAATATGTATGTAATCATTTAAAGTATAATAAATAGATAGAGGCATGCAAATAGCTTTGCAGCCCTTGTGCAACTTACGAAAGGAATTTGTGCCCGAACTGGATGAGCCGCGACTGGGGCACTGTCGATGCTTCCATGGCATGATGCTCGTGACGCTCGAGTGCAGCTGATGATGTTTCTGCGGCGTGGCCGGAATGCCGCCAGTTGGGCCATGGTGCAGCAACGAATGCCCCACATCGTGTCCATGATAATGATGCGAATGCGAATGGGGATGCGGATGGGGATGGGGATGCGAATGTGTGTGGGCGTGGCCATGTGGCTGGGACTCGAGCTCTTTGAGTATGCCGCCGCCGCCGCCGCTGCTGTTATTGCCACTGTCGAAGGAGTTCATCGTAAAGCTGGAGGAGGCCAGCGCCGATGATTGTGGCATTTTCTGATACGGCACACGGCAGCCGCCATCAATGTCCACCAAATTGCCAAAGCTGCGACTATTCACGGGCAGTGTCCAGTCCATGCTGCTGGTGTGAAATATCTGTGCCGGCTGTGCCATGTCCAGGCTCTGCTTGGAGTCCGACTGCTGCTGCTGTTGTTGTTGCTGCTGCAATTGTTGCTGCTGCTGCTGCGGCTGGTTGCTCGGAAAATTGAGCAGCGATTGTGAGAAGCAGCGACAACGCTGCTGCTGAAAGTGCGCCAATTGCTGCTGCTGATGCTGCTTCTGCAGGTAGCGGCTGTAGTGGGCCAAATGTCGCGCATAATCGCTGCTCGGCCCGATTGTGTTGTATTTGCTCAGCACGGGAAAAACAGTTGCTGCTGCTGTTGCAGCAGGAGTTGCTGCTGGCACAAAGCACAAGCTCGGGTCTGATTTTTGTGCGTGCGGCGCAAAGATGTTGTCCTCCTCGTGTGCGGCAAAGGGCGGGTGCTTGGCTTTGTGTGTCTTATTAAGGCTGTGGGCGTGGCCGTTGCCATTGCTCAGCGGCTGGCACAGATCCGGCTTGGCATTGCCGCCGCCGCTGCTGTTGGCGCACTTCAGCAATGTGGCCGCGCAGTCGTCCAGCGCCGTCTTGGTGCAATCCTCGAGCAGATCGCCGTTGCACAGCTGTGCCATGCCCAGGGCCAGATTGTTGTTGCTCTTGGGCAACAGTTGCTGCTGTTGTTGCTGTTGCTGCTGTTGTTGCTGCAGCTGCTGCAGCAGGCGCAGGCTGCGCATGCTGCCGTTGCGCTTCAGTGCTGGCGGCGGCGGCACGGGCGGTATTATGTCCACATCCGACAAGCTGGGCGTGTCGCTTAGCTGGAAGAAGCAGCAGAAGCAGTAGAACAAGACGTTAAATAAATTGAATACGTGCAGCTGTTACAGCAAAGGAAATTGTATTAAATCAATCGACATGGCCAACTTCCGGCTCAGAACTTATAGCAAAGCGTGCGCTTGAGGCACAGTTTGCAAAACAGTTTCGCCAGCATTTTGGCCAAGCTTAAAGCGCATTTAGTGTGGTATAAGTTTGGGTGTGTATGAAGACATATCGGACATCCCACTCAAAGAACTTGTTCGCACATTTCGTAAATTTCACATAAAATGAACTCTCTTAATAATTTTGAAATTAATTTAATTCAATTATTCAAATAGGAGTAACAGGATTATTATTTACAGAACATTTTCTAACTTTAGAATAGCTTTTTATTCTTTTCTAAAATTCAGGTAATTAATCGTTTTGAAACAAAACTTATAAAACTTTGTTTAGAGACGTTCTATAGGCAAAGTCTACTAAAATTATTTATAAAGTTGCTTTGGCAGCTATCTAATTCAAATATAGTTCTTGTGTAAAAAATAAGGTCTTGTTTTTGAGGATATTTTATGTAAATTCTCATTGTATGACGGAGCAGCATATTATGAGCAGCAGATTAGCCTAAATTATAGTTAACGTATATTCAAAAATAATTTTCTTTTCAATTTAAGAAAATTTTTATACATGAAAAATATTTTATATTTTAGAAAAGTTACCGGCAAATAAATTTATATTTCAGAAATTATATTTCTTTTCTTTATTACTTTTATTGTCCGTGAGGGTATTAAATATTCGTCAGCTCGAACACAAGTCTCTGCTGTTGGTATAACTAATTTTTTTAGATTATACTGCAAGCATGTAACAAATGAATATTAACTAATTCCTATGAATATGAATACCAAATCAACTTTCAAAGAATATTCAATCCACTTTAATAGAGCGCCCAAAGGTATGCTACACATTTGTAAATTGGCGAAATTGTATAGAAAGAGATTTTGGAGCAACACATGCGTTTTGCAGCTGGCCGCCGGCTACATGAAATTTAATTATGCCATAGACAGGAGCATATAAACACACACACACACACACACACACACGCACGCAGACGTACAGCATAAAGGGCGTGCGAAAAAAGGGCATGAAAAAGGTTTATCGGAGAAAAAGCATAACTCCTGTATACTTTTGCCTGGTTTCCAGTTGGCCATCTAAGTGCGCAATGCGTTGTTCGTGTCCTAATTGAATTTGTTACGGTCAGGTCGAGCCATCAGCCTTATCCTCATTCTCAGCCGCATTCCCAGTCTCCAGATCATTATTATCATCGGGCAACATCATAAACATCATCAAAAAACACCGACGCTCCGGGGATTCGAAATTGAATTCAGTTACGGGAAATACATTTGCATTGATTTGCTTTTTATTTTTATGCGTCTGGCCGAAACGAAACGCATTGACATTAATAAAAATTTCCCTTTGAATTTTGATTGCTTTATGTTGGCCCCCGTAGACCCCCCCCCCCCTCCCACGCCGCGCCCATTGTTGTCGCCTGTCGTGTTGCTGTTGATTATTTTTATTATTTACTTAGTCTTGTCCCACCCAGCTGTTCCCCCGCCCCGCCCAGCACATGAACGGGCATGTCCTGTCGCTGCTTAAGTGGAAATTGAAAATTTTCATATTTTCATTACCCAGCGAGCTGGTAATTTCCTACGCCTGTCGCCGGGCGAAACTTAAATAATTTATGCAAATATTTTGCGGTGGCATCTCTTGCATAACTTGCCCGCCGTCCAACAGGCTGGCCAATTTGAAAGGACGCGCTGATTTTATGAGCCCAGTTTTTTTTTTCTTGCTTATTTCTCGAAAGTTTCTAATAGCCAATTAGCTCGAAGGCAAGGTTTATTCTTTACATGGAATATATAAATATTTATTATTGTGGTGTTGGCTCAAGAAATGATAAGTTTGTAAGCCTGTTAATGCAACTAATCTGTGTGCAAGGCTTGACACATTGTAACAAGGCTATAAACTGGTTTAATATTTAATAAAACAATAATAAGTTAATTATTAACTTTAATATTTCTGCACAATTTGGATAATGCGACGCATCAAGGCTTAAGCTAAGAACTGAATGCCTTTGAAAAGCGAGCAAATTTTTCGATAATTTTATAATATTAAATAAATTAATTAATAAGCTGCACATTCGAACCGAAAACTATTGGAAAAATATATGTTGAAACAAAATTGTATTTCATTTTAGATTTTTATCAATTAAAGCCGGACCTCGAGCCAGATAAATAAATATTTAAAATATGGAAAGATCGCCAAAATTTGCATTAAAAAAATAAATAATACAATTAATGTAAACATAATAAATAAACTTGAAATATCTGTATAAAGTTTAATTTAATTATATTTGTAGTCTTTTAATAAATTGTAGCTCAAGCTTAGAAAAAGCAGAAATATTTTTTAATAAATATGAAAACTAAGCTTCATAGATGAGAGGATGCTGGCTCGAGGTCCGTATCAAATATCTGTAAACAGATTGTAGGATAATATAAAACTTGAGCTAATAAAAAATATCCAAAGAAAATATATTTCAAATATCATAAGATCAGCTTAAAGAAAATCATTAAAATATAAACTGCGCCCTTAATGCTGTCACATATCAATCAAAGGGCCACAAAGGGTCAATTATTTCTATTTTATATTTCTGTTCATATTAATTGGTCTAAGACTTCTATCAAAAGAAAACCCTCAAACTTGATTTCTCTCAGTTCAGCTGACCAGAAATATAATTTAAATTCAAGCTGAGCTCTTAATGCTTTGACATATCAATCAGGGAGTCACTTGGGGTCAATTATTTGTTCTCATAATAATTCGTCTACAACTTGTGAAAAAAAAGCACATTCTATCATAATTCAAAAGTTATGCACGTTTGCGCAGGAGACCAACACTTTGCAAAGTATTTACTAATTAAAGGCGAAGCGAGCGAGCGAGTGCAAAGGTCCCAAGCAACAACATAAATATGCTGGCGTATGCACTTTGAGCACACTTCTTTAGCTTCTCGCTGATTTCCAGTCGCTTCTCTTTGCGCTTCAAGTAGGAGCCATTCTTGCATGCATGTGCATATGCATATGAATATGCATAACTCCCTTCTCGGGGGGCTGCTGGTTAACTGCGCCCCAAAGTATGCAACATTATGCTGCATGCTGTGTATGCTTATTTGGCGTTTATGCCACAAATTGGACGCCATGTTTATGAGCTGTGTGTGTGCGAGGGGCCACAGGAGGGGCAGGGGCAAGGGCGGGCGGGGCTTATGAGTGGCACCACAGGACTTGGCTAACCGCAGCTTGCTGCTTTTTTGAGCATTAAATTGCTTGATATATCGTTGCATAACTATATGCAGATATATATATATATATAAATATATATATGTTGCCTTTAGTTTTCGCTCGCGACTTTTAGCTTAGCTTTCTGTCCACCATTTTCGCCGACTGCCGACTGCTGCTCTCTGACGATTTTCCGCGCGCTTTTCTTCTTTTGAGTTATGCGCGTCTTTGTCTCGCCTTAAATTTCATAATGCACATTTTATAATAATTTTTCGTCTACTTTGCGGCAATTTTGTGCAATTTTTTACCATAATTTATCTAAGTGTGTATGTGTGTGTCTCTGTGTGTCTGAGCATTCATCATTGTTTTTTTTTTTTTTGCAAGTTTCTCGCTACAGTTACGAAATTTCTGCAGCTCAGCGTTGCGAATATGCTCAAAGCTCTATGGGCTGTATGCAAATGTGCGTGCGTGTGTGTGTGTGTGTGTGTGTGTGTGTGTGTGTGTGTGTGTGTGTGTGTGTGTGTGTGTGTGTGTGTGTTTGTCGGGCGTAATGTTGAGTTATGGCAGTTTTGTAGTTTGCGCAAAACTTTTTTAACGCTTCTCTTACGTAGCTGTTGCTCAGAGTAGATCCTTTTACATTTTAGTAGATGTTTCCTCTGCTTTCTTCTTTTTTTTTTGGGACTGGACCGGGCAGGATACTCTGCCCGGGGTATTTAGTTAAATGTTCGTAAAATTGAGTGTTGGTTATATTTTACTTGAAGTTACCCGCGTCGCTCGAATCGGCATTGCCTTTAATCGATTTAGCCAACGCAATAAGCAGGAAAAAAAAGAACGAAAACTTTTATAAATGTCCAAGTTTGTTTTGGTTTTATTTCATTTTTCTTCCTCTATTTTGTGTGCTATCAAAATTGGACTCGTAATTACCCGACAGCCTCTTAACTTTACGACTCTATCAATGGCCATTTGCAGCTTTTGTTCCCGCTGGCTTTTGTCCATGGTTCATGTAATTATTTCAAATAACTTTGCTGAAGACACGCTCATAAGTAGGCTATCAAAATGTGTGTTTAAGTGTGAATAAATTTAATTGCTCATACGCCATGTGGTTCAAGTGATAATTGAGGAATTTGTGCGGTTATATAAATAAATTGAGCTTAATAAAGGGAAGGCTAACTTCGAAATACCGCGGATTCTTCTTTGGACACATAACTCAACTTTTCAGGAAATGGCTGATACGTATATGCTGGGTTTGAACCGGCGACCTCTCGGCTGATATATATATATATAATCTGGCATCTCTGCAATCTTCCTTCTAAGAACAATTTCTCTGATAAAACTCGACTTCACTCTGAAGAGGATAAGAACCTAGCGCAATCTTTCACCAGCTTTTTTTTCAGAAAAAGCTTATATAGCTATCGGATAAGGCTTTTCCTAAATGCTGGCTTCGAGCCGGCGACCTTTTACTTTTTAGTGCGACGTGCAGACACCGAAACTACGCAAACCCTTTTTATAATTAATGAATATATTCTCTGGCATCTCTTCCAAATACAATTTCTCTGTAAAATTCGACTTCACACTGCAGAGAATGAAAACCTAGCGATTGTTTTCACCTGCTCAGCAGAAGAAACTTCACAATTTTATTCAATTCCTTCACTCAAAAGCGCTGAAATTTAAATGCGTGTTCGTAGTTTTAAATTACTTTTGAATTCTTTGAAAATGAAATTGAGTAAACTATATTTATGGCTGCATCTGAAAATTGAAAGTTTCTTCAGTTTCTTTGGCGTTAATTTATCGAACCAACTGTGGCTTAAATACGTACTCAATTGTATTGTGATTGATTTATTAAGACACACAGCTCACACAGTTCGCTCTTCAGTGGATCCTTGCTGCGGCGTTAGTTGACTGAAATGTCACATAAATTGCGTATACGCCGCATGCAACCGGCTCGGCTCGACTCGACTCGCCTCGACTCGAACAGGCTGCGTGTGTTTGATGAATTTAAAGCCCCGCTTGACTTGCAGTCGTTTTCGAACTGGAACAACTAAATGGCGCTAAATGCAAAGCATGGCGTAAATAAAAAGTTAAACGATGCTACTAAATAACGAGTATGTTTGCCGGGGCAGCAGCAGACGGCTGGGAAAGCGCCCACGCATGCCACCAAATTGTAGCCACAATTTGTTGCAACAACTCTGAAAGTGGAGCAGCACACACACACAGACACAGAGACAACCCTTGCCGCCTGGGGCCACAGCAAACGCATACATCAAATGTGTCAAAGAGATTTGTTATGCATGACAGCGGCCTGAACAGCAAAAAAAAAAGAATAAAAATAAAAAGAACAAAACACAAGCCGGAGCAGAACTGTGACAGCGTATCTAGCTATAAAACGAGCTGTGCGAGATAATGTGAACATGGAGGTGGAGGCCATATTTTTTTTGCGTAATTGAAGTTCCGCCGTGCTAATTGTGACAAATGACAGCAACAGCAGCAGCTACGATGTTGGGCTTTAAAAATTTAATGCCATGTCGCAGGGGTCACGCCCCCGACCCAACACGCGTCGGAATGGCATTTTAATTAAAGTACAGGTAGCTTTGGCATGCCAATATGTGAGGTGAATTATTTAACAATTCTTTCTGCAGAGCTAGTAGTAGTTGCTAGTTTAGTAGTTGCTGCGAGTCGCGATTAGTCAAGATATGTTGATGGCTTTAGATGGGTCGATGAAGTCTAGGACCTACAACACAACACCCTTTACAATACTCTTTACAACACTATACTCTTTACAACACTATATACTATACAACACTATATACTATCCAACACTCTATACAACACTGTCGAACACTCTATACAACACTCTGTCGAACACTCTACACAACACAACACTCTACACAACACAACACTCTACACAACACAACACTCTACACAATACAACACTCTACACAATACAACACAAGCAATTGGGAAGCACCTGGCAGTGTTTCCTGCACGCGTGCTTTATTAAACCGAAGCATATCCAAACTTCTTCAAGAAATACTTTGTGATATGTCAATATATATAGTTGGGGGGGTGGATTAAGTAGAGGGTTGAAATATTGTGGGCTGCCTGAAATCTGAATAGCTAGCTATTGATGCGAGTGTCGAGCAGTAGAACGTCGTTTCCTCTGTGTGTGGGTTGCGGGTATAAGCGAGAGTCTGGCCGTGTCTTGAGCCTGCCTGAGTTGTGCGTTTTCTAAATCAAATTGGTTTTCTTCATCACAGTCAGGAATTCCTCGCGGCACACCTCACCATCGCCGTCCAAGTCAGCCTCGTCGATCATCTCCTGCAGCTCCTCGTCGGTGAGTTTCTCGCCCAGCTCGGTGGCGACACGCTTCAGATTGTTGAACGTGATGCGGCCAGTGCGATCGTCGTCGAAAAAGGAGAAGGCCTTTAGTATATCCTGCTTGGAGTCCTTTGCGGCCATTTTCAAGCGCATCAGATGCAAGAAATCGTTGAACGCAATGCGTCCTGTCTTATCCTTATCGATCTCATCCATCATATTTTTGATCTCTTCCTTGTTCGGCTCAAAGCCCAAAGCGCGTATTGCGACGCGCAGCTCTTTTACTTCAATAAAACCGGTGCATTCTGTATCGAACAGATCGAAGGCCTTTTTGATGTCAACCTTCTGCTGCAGCGACAGGTCAAAGGTCGGCAAATTACGCTTGTTTTTGATCTTGCGATTCTTCATCAGCACCGAACCCGAGGTGAGGGTCCCCGCCGAGACGGCGCTGCCCAAGGTCAATTCCATTGTCAAAGTCCTTTGCCTTTGCTCTCTAGATCGTGTCAAATATAAAGGCTTTCTTTTCAAATTTTTTGTTTTTTTTTTTCGTTTTCTTTAAGATAAATAATTTTTTTTGATATATATAAAACTGTGTAAATATGTTTACAACCCTCACCGTTGGAGAACAGAATATAATCTGGTTTTGGGTATTTTGCTGTAAACTTATCAAACAAACTAGCAGTCGCCTACTTGGGGGCGTGGCATGCTGTGTTTACAACAGGTTTCAAATGGAGCTTAGCAGAACATATTTCTACCGACTGAGAAAGTATTTGATATTAATTATTTTTAACTGGTTTTTGCATTAGAACATTTTCTGTTAATATCATAATGCAGATATTTTTTAGCTCTTGTTTCATCAGAGTCTTTCCTGCTGCTTTCATTTTTTACCAGACTAGATTTAATGATTATTGTTGCTTCTTTTTAAGCGAATAGTTACAAATTAAATAAACAAATATTGAATATTGCTTCTGCATTTGAACCAGCGACCTGTCTAATCAATTGTTTGTAAAGATTCTGAGCTTTAGATGTATATAAATATATTTTCCTTGGGCGAATGTTTTCTCTACGATAACAAAAGGAGGTAAAAGTTCTTGCTGCTCTTTTTGTTAACTTGAAGTACAGTGAATATAAGAATATATGACAGGCTAACCTGTACCTTAAACTTTTGAAACTCAAAAGTATTATTTGTCTAAGAGTTTCATCCTTTTGGATCTTAGAGTAAGTTTTTGGAGTTGTAAACTTCTGTTTGACGTAGATAGCTAAGAATCTCACGATTTGTTGATATGGTTCCATTATATATATAATATATTAATTAACACAATTAATTACACAATTAGCTCGGCCCTTTTTGAAACTTCTTCAATGTTATATAAAAAACTAATTTACAAAATCAATTGAAATTCTATTCAATCCTCAGATTAATTTTCAATACTAAATCCGAGTCAGAAGCTAATGGCCATATAATTTTTAAAATATTCAAAACAAAATTAAGAAAATGAATCATTTCAAAACATGCCTAAATTCAGTTTTAGCTTGGAATATTTGTTGGGTAACTAAGTCAAGTCGTGGCTATAATATTCTGTTTCTTTTCTTTCTGGAATCTCGAAAAGGAATATTTGTTCATATTCTCACATGAATATTTAAAAAATTGTGGCTCAAGCTGTGGCGCTTATGTCCAAATGTGTTGCCACCAAATGTGGCACAGTGTATAAAACGACAGCGGAGGTTATGTATTTGGACAGACGGCCAGGTGGTAGATGGCAGGTGGTGAATTTCAGGTGCCATGTGCCAGCTGCCCAAATGTCAGTCAAAGTTGCCGCAACTGCTGCTGCTGCTGCCTCTGCCGCTGCTGCTGCGAGTACGTGCCGCGAATTGTTTGCCCATCAAATTTGCCTGCAACAGGCCGCACACACAGACAGACAGACAGATAGGTAGGCAGGCAGACAGACAGGCGCGACACGTGCCGCACACGCCTGGAACTGCTGCTCATGATTCCAATTACATAAACATAAGCATTTGTGCTTACCTGCAAATCCACGCCGCCGCCGCCGCCGCCTCCCGCTCCGCCGACCAGGCTAGTCAGCGATAATTTACGTTGACGTTCGCGCTCCAGTCTCATGAGTATCTGTGCGTTCTGCTCACAGGTGTACGTGTGCGTCTTGCGGCGTCGCTCCAAACTGTATTCGTAGAGCGGACGCGCTGCGTCCGGCTGCAGTTGCGCCTCGTCGCCGGCATCGCAGCTGCACAGCGACTGATTGCTGCGTCCCTTGCCCCGCTTCAGCGAGCCGCGATGCGAGCTGGAGGCGCCGCCGCCCCGCTCGCTCACAAAGTCCGAGAAGGTGACCACATTGTGATTATTGTTAAAGTTGTTGTTGATGTTGTTGCTGCTCGCCTCGTAGGCTGCGGCTGGCCGCAGCGCGGGGCCCACAGGTGCCACGCCCGCTTTTCGCTTAGAGGGCGACACATAGTAGACATCGTGCTCATCGAACTCGACGCTGCTCAAGCGCTGCGGTGCCACGCCCCCGCCACCGCCAAGAGCTGTGGTTGCGGTGGCCGTGCTGCTGCTGGTGGTGCTGGCGGCGCTGTTGCCGCCGCTGCTCAAATTGCAGGCCTGATCCACCAGCGTGTGGTGCAGCAGCAGCAGCGGCTCGCCGCGCAGCGAGTGCTGCTTGTGCAGACGCGGCGTCTCCAACCGGCGCAGCTCCGTCATGCTGTCTCTGTCGCACACTTTCTCTCTTTCTCTCACTCTCTATCTCTCTCTCTCTCTCGCTCTCTCACTCTGTTGTAGCTGTCTCTGTTTTATAGCTTCTGGCTGGCGCTTATTGTCATCACTTGGCTGGCTTAGCTGCCAGTCTCATGTTATATTCATGGCCCACTCGCTCGCATTAGCATAAGACTCTGCTCTGCCGATATCTGCCAGCTGATATATATATATATATATATGTGTATATATATGTGTATAGCTGGCACGTGATTTTTTAATTTTAAATGCGAATTGACGCCTTGGGGCCTGCTAAGCCGGCTAACGATTTCCTTATGTCAATATAGCAAACTCGCAATCGGCTTTTGCCAACCGGCTAACTGTTTCGTTTGCCTCTGCTCCAGCTCCTGCCTCAGCTAAGCCAGCTTCCAGCTGCTGCTCCAACTCCAACTCCTGCTCCTGCTCCCGCTCCTGCTGATGCTCCTGCTGATGCCTCTGCTGACAGCAATGTGTGTGCCGTCTCATTGGCAGCCGCTTAGCAATTCGATTTGCCAGCGACTCAGTCACGGATTTTGCCGCCTGCCAAGCTTTTCCTTCTCCTTTTTAGGCTGTTTGTTCTGTTAATAGACTCGTCTTTCCCGCTGGCCGCGCCTCTAATAACTGCAAAGAGAGCAAAGTTTTTTTTTTGTTTGGGGGGGAATACGTTAGTATTGAGTGCCAAAGAAAAATTGCTGTGTTCTTTTTGGATTTTCATTGTGTGCTTTATGGCCGTACAAAGGCAATGGGTACAAGTGTGCATAATCTGTGTGTGTTTGTATGTATGCGTGTGTGAGTGTGTTTTGTGTGTGTGTTTGTGTGCCTGTGTGTGTGTGTGTGTGTGTGCTTGTGTGTATTCCATGCCGCCTAATTGGTTTTTGGTTTCGCTTAATCCGTTGACGTGCCACGAAATTGAATCTTTAACTTGAGTTTGTAAAGTTGAAAACGAAATCTAAAAATATGCTTTTAATTGCTTAAGAAATTAAGATACAAACGAGTAGGAGATGCCCGCAAAGCTGCCGTTACAAACATTCCAGCTTCTTTCTATACATACATATACAAAAATACACATACATACACATATATAAGCATGCCTATACAGTACACTTAATGCTACGGCTGTGCTTCTTCCTTCTGTAGCCCCACATTATATCTGGGAAATGCATTCTTAAAGAACTTCGTTGTTTATAGTTCAATCTTAATGATATTTACAGAGCTCAAATTTGGCATACTTAAGTGCGTACTTGTGAAATTTATATTTATCTCCCGTTTTTATTGAATGGGTGAAGGTATCCAATATGTGAAATATTTGTAATATGTACACACTATGCGAGAAACTACATATCAAATTTGGTGTACTAAGCTCTTATAATCTTTGAGGTATGCTCAAAAGCCAATATCAATATATCGATATTTATCGATATTATAGAAAAAGAAGAAAATATCGAAAACAAATCAATATTTTTTTGGCGTATGGCTTACAAAAATAAATATTCAGGTTAATTAAATAAATATTGGTAGTTTCTAGGATGGATGAGTTCAGACAGAGTGAAAGATGGTCAGGACAAAATCTACCCAGCTCGCCTGATCAACAATATACATATCAATATATATCCATATATACCTTATGGTGTCGGAGCTGCTTTCTTCTGCCTGTAACATACATATGCACAACCAGATTATACCCCTTTTAGCCACTTTCCGTGGGCATTATGTTTGTCAAATCTACTTTCAAAGTTTGCTTGTAAATTTTGGCATATATAAAAATTACCATAAACACGCAATTGCGTTAAACTTATGTCAACTATTTGTGTTTCGCCCCAAAAGCTTGACGCTTTGCAACACTGCAAAAGAATTAACTCATTACATGCGCTCATTAAGCTATAAGCAAACTTGATTAAGGCCTTGAAAAAACTTTTATTCAGGAATGTCGCAGCCAGCCAGCACTTGGCCTTGGACAAGGCGGGAGCGGGGCGAGGATGGGGGCGTGGCAGACAGGAGAGACAAGAGTCTGACAACTTGAAGTGCCACTCGAAATATGCCCAAGACAAAATGTTTGTTGTTGTCGCCAGGAGAAAGTAAAAGTTGCCGTGGCAAACTTCTTAAAAATACTTAAGAAGCGATAAATATCTCAAAGTGTGCATATATATTTATATATATATATATATATATAACTATGTGTGTGTGTGTGTGTATAGCGCACACATATGATAGCTTAGGGGGCGGTAATGTTTTGACTCTTGAAACTTTTGCTCAAGTTGCCTATTTGTTACTCTTCATGTTGTTTGGTTGTTTTTCTTTTTCTCCTGGGGCAGCATCACGGGCCGTGTGGCATTGATAGCGCTAGTGCCACGCCCCCCCAGCCCAACGCGACAAATTTGGCATTGTTGTACACTGCAGCCATTGACGAGTTTAGAGGGTATCTATGATTTGTGCATGTGTATGTAACAGGCAGAAGCAGACAACTGCGACTTTCAAAATATATATACATATATTTATATATTCTTGATCAGCATCAACTAGAGAATTGATCCTAGTATCTATATGTCAGTCTTAGAACCTATGAAAGCTAGAAGAGTCTTAAAATTTCCAACAATCGATCAAGTTTTTTCATCATTCTCGAAGCTTTTAAGAGCTGCAGTCATCAAATTTGGTATGCAGACTCTTGAAGAGTATATGAAGAGTATATTTGGGATACTGCCTTTGGTTGTAATACATACATATATTTGGATGCCATTTTTCCATCCCAAAAATTTTATAAAAACCGGGCTTCAAGCATCGAAGACAATCAAAAATGCATTTAAAGATAGAAGAAGCCGCAAGCTGCGTGTATATGTTTTTCTGTATGCACAGTCTTTCTATAGCTCAGCGCTCGTGTGCAGGGTATCTGCTAGTCGAACACTTGCACCTACTTTTACTTCTGGTTGTTGTTGTTGCGCCTGTTTGCCATACTCATTATCTTTTAACGTTATTATTATGTTGCAAAAGTTGTTCAGGCGCTGCCAATTTTGTTGCTGGCAGCTTTGCAGCTTTAAGCAAATTCCTTCAAATTCCAATGCCGACAAACTTTAGAGTCTAGGCAGCTGCTCAATTATATGTATTTGAAATGTTTGTTGTTGCTTATTAAAAACTTGCCATCGTTTGGCCAAAATACTTTGCCATCAAGTGCTGCAAATGTTGCCTCAGCAAATGGCGTCTCAATTTTTGCTTTGAAATCATAGAGAAAAAAATAGGTCTAAGCCTAGCAGTTGGGTGGCCATGACTGCACAATACTCTACTAGCAGTTATAAATCGAAGCCGGGTTGAAAAAAGTCTTAAATATTTTTTGGGCTATTTAGTTTGAAGAGGAGCACTATTCGTTTAGTAACTAAATATCTGGCTCTAAAGCTGAGTATTATAAGCTAAATAGCCTATCTAAGAGATTGGATTCGGCACAAAATATATAAACACATTTGCACTTTGTTTATAGGGTATAAAAAGGCTCTTGAAAATTCGCGCAAATTCACATAAATTGAGATATATTCGCCTGTCAATCAAAAAAGGTAACAGCTAAGGCATACGCGATTTTTCTGTATGCTTTTACGAAATTAAAAGAAGAAATCGAGAAAAAAAAACGGAATGAATGTAATAAGGAATGCGCGACTAACAGATGCCCTGGAGAGGTAGCTATAGTTGAAAATTTATTGAATAAATTGAAATAGAAAAGATTATAAGACAGACCTACTACGAAACAGTTTTAATGCGTAGTTTGAGCCACCGACTTCCCTTTTGTTAGCTCAACGCTGAGAACAAACTCGTATATATAAGTGAGCAATATTTGTAGAGGTTTTTAGCCAAAATTTATGAGCGTGTGAGCGCAGGAAAAAGGCTTAAGGCTTGAAGACAAATTTATAGGCCTATGCGAGGACGAATTTACAGCCTCAAGCTCTTGTGGTCTCTAACATTCTGCCTGCCTGTTGCATGGACACGCTTATTTACGGCAGCCTGGCTCTCTATATAATTGATGTGTACAGGGTATATGGCCAGCAGCACACAGCCGGCGTCTATAATCAATAAAAAATGGCAACTGACAGCTGTTGACAGGCGCGGTGCGGGACTTTTGGCTGTCTCACTCTGGGCTGGGCTTTGACGCACGCACTTCTAATAATAATAAAAATACATTTTGCCTGATGCGTTTCTGGTTTGGATTTTTATTTTGAAAGCAAATTGCGAAAGACTTTTCAAAAGCTGTGCACAAATGAAGTCAAAGAAAAAATCTGTGAATACATTTTTTATAACAAAATAAGCAAACATAAACAGGCGAGAAACTCAAGAGCTAGACATACGGAAAAACTTCATATGCTGTCCACTTTTTATGGCCGAACTAATTCGGATTAATTAGTTTTGGCATTGATTTTGCAGAAAGCCGGGCGCGGTGTTCGCATCGGGTCAGGTTCAAAGGGGTTTTATGTGGCAGGTCATAAAGTCTAAGTGGGCGCAGTGCTTCAAGTGGGCAAAGGACAAAGGCGGGGGTTGGTTGGCAAAGGACAACCGCTATGAGCAGCGCCCACGCAAATGAAAATCTAATTTAGAGCAACACGCACACAAAGAAGCCCAGCAAAAGGAAGTGGGCGTAGGCCAGCGGGGAATGGCAGGGAGGGAGGGATGAATGTTGGATGTTGGCATTTCAGCGGGGTAGACACAAATGATACATGAGCTGCTGGCAGCAGTAAAAGCTTCGGTTTGCCTTTCATTTGCGTTTAAAGACCCAAAAGGAGTTCCGCCTGCAGCAGCCTACAAATTAACATGGCCCCAATCTGTGATTCGCTGTGCGAGTGTGCGGCCGTCTGTGTGTGCGTGTGTGTGTGTGTGCGTGTGTGTCCCATGAATTATGACGAAGCCAGCTGCAGACTTAATGGAAAAAGCTCAGCCTGGGCCCGCCGTGCTGCTCAGTCTGGGCGCACGCAAGGCGTAAATTAGAAAAAAGTAAATTTCCTATAGCATACTTATTTGGGCGCCCGCCCCGCCCCACGCTGCGTATGCGTATTATGTGCGCCCTCTAATAAGTTGTCGTACGCGACCTGCCCGGCCTCAGATAAATTGAACACGATCTATGCGCTGGATTTGCACAGAAAACTTTCTCTGGCCTGTTGGAGGCTTCAAAAATGTTCGTCTGCGCACTTTTAATTTTGACACGTTCCAGAGAAGAGCAAAAAAAAAAAAAGGCACAAAATATATAAATAAGAAAACACGTGTTCTTTGACATTGCAAAAGCGCCGACAAGGCGTAACGCGTGGCAAATATACGATATACGATATACAATATACGTATATATATATTTTAAAATTCCAACGGCAGCGCGTATAATGAGTTTTTTGGCGGCAGCTCGTAAATACATGGGCCGAGGCCCATATAAATACTCGCACATTCGCTTACAAAAGTATGCGCCCATAGGTGGGCTATAAAATTTGTTTAACACCAATGCACGCCGCACGCAACGCGCACGCCAATCAAATTTATTTCATTTTATATAAATATAAATATATTTCTTTTCTTATTTTCTCCTCTTTTTTTTGTTGCTGTCCCGTTTTATGACAGCGCAGCAAATTAATGAAATTTTCGCAATAAATCATTGGCAAAGCGCATAAAAATGCGCACAAAATGTGTAAAGCATATGAAAAATTTGCGTCAAATGTAGGAAAAAAAAACATTAAAATCTTATCCAAAAATAAAAAAAAAGGGTCATCAAATTCCAACAATTATTAAAATATATACATAAATGTTCAAATAATGCACTGTTGCATAGTTGCAGAGACTTACAAATTGTTAGACTTTTATTCGAAACAAAAAGGTTTTTTATACATATGTATATATATTAACGGAGAAAAATCAAATATAGAATCAAATAAAAGAGCTTTAAAACATTTTTTGGCAACAAAAAGGCTTCATGAAAGGCTGAAAGTTTGTAAAGCGACGAATTTTCTTGGTAATATATTTATATAAAAATAATACACTGTTGGAAATTATTTAACTTTTACTCGAAAAGCTTTTAATACATTTTTGACAACAGAAAAACCCGCTTTTTATACCCTGACCCCATTGAAACTGGTAAAAAGGGTATTATGTATTTGTGCAAATGTATGTAACAGGCAGAAGGAAGCATCTCCGACCCCTTAAAGTATATATATTCTTGATCAGCAGCAACAGCCGAGTCGATCTAGCCATGTTCGTCTGTCCGTCGGTCCGTCCGTCCGTATGTACGCAAGGATCTCAGAACCTATAAGAGCTAGAGACTTCAAATTTTAGCTGTAGGTCCTCCTAGTCCCCGCACAGATCGGAATTGTTTCCGATATTCGATAACTTGTCCTGTTTCCAAGTAATCGATATCGAAATCCTGTTTTTTGAGCAATTTCGGCAAATAATATGAGCTAGAGTCACCAAACTTGACATGTAGCTTCTAGAATAGTATAAATATATGAAGTATCTTTCATTTTATACCTATCGCCTGTTTGAAGAAGAGGGTATAAGGGTATCCCCTAGTCGGGCGCTAGAACCTCTAACTTGTTAAATTTGTATTCCAGAGTACATGTTTTATCAAACATTAAAAAATGTTGCAGCCAAAATGTTAATGTCAGCTTCTTTTTCTCGACAGCTTAATTAGTTTTTCTTTTGCTACCCTATTTGTATTAAATCAAAACTCACTCTTAAGCTGCTTTGAGCAACTGTTTTTATACCCTTGTAGAGGATATTATAATTTTATCATAAAATATGTAACGCATAGAACCCATTGAGTATATATATTCTACATTCTCTCCGTCTGTCCGTCTGTCTGTTTCCATGCGAACTAGTCTCTCAACTGCCTGAAGCCATCGTCTTGAAATAAGCAGGATCGACTCGCTATATCATATATCTGCCATACGAACTATCGAAGGAAGAGTAGGCCTTTTTGTGGAAAAATACTTAGTTTATCAAGATATTTTGACCAACCTTGGAATTGATTAGCTTTCATAGGAACGACCCGTCCAAAACTAAGTTCTTGTATGACAAAATACTCTATTTTCTAAGATATTTTAATCAAACACATGAGCATGTACGAGACTCACACTAATCAAATATATGCAAAAGGGTATTAAATCTGCTGCGTGCTAAAACAATTCTTAGTTTATCGTGTTTTTTCCCCCTCAATTTCAAATTAATTTTGGCATATTTCTGGTCATTTCACGCACACTTTCGAATTCTTCTTGATTTTGCCCAAAACATTCTGGCACTTATTTAGCCAAATGGTCGAGCATAAGCCACCAGCAGACGGCAGACACATTCCGATTCCCGGTCCAAGCCCGAAAAATCCATTCACAAGTCATATTTTTGGACCTGACTGCACTTTTGGTGGTGCGCATAAAACTTTTGCTCAGGCCCGTGTCCAACCCCAGCCACCCGTAATCTCTGGGCACCACAAAAATAGTCATCCTGGCTCTGTGCGGGAAGTGGCCCTAGTTTTGGTATAAAACAAACCCCGGTCCCACACCCCCCGCCCCGCCTCGCTCTGGTTCTCTTTGGTAATTCCGCTTGCATCCGTTTCTAAAAAGTTGCGCTGGCGACGAAATTCAAGTGGTTGGGGCCAAAGGCTTTTAGCTGACTTAACACCAGCGTGGAGGACACACACTCTAATATATTGCCGACACCACAGTTAAAGTCCCTCCCTCCCCCCCCCCCACACGCCCTCAGCCTTCCCTTAGTGGCCACATAAAGCTTGAGCTTAAGCATGTCGGTCCAAAAAGGGTTTCCTTTCCTACTTTGACTTTTGCCAAAAAATTTGCACAAAAAGCGCCCGCATGAAAATTGTGCGTATGTGTGTGTGTGTGTGTGTGTGTGTGTGGGTGTGTGTGGGTCAAAAACACAAGTTAACAATGGAGCTCGTGACTTTAAATAAAGAAATAACTTGCGCATAGTTCAAGTCAAACAATGCGCGACGCTGCGCTAAGAATTTAACATGAATACGCTTTTATATATTTTACTCTATGACTGCGTGTGGGCGTATGTGCGCAGGGGCGTGTGGGTGTGCCCGTGGGCGTGGCACTCGCTTCACTAACAATGCGCGGCTGTCTTTGCACAAGTTTTGCATTTTTTTTTCCCGCTTTTTTAGGTTATTTTTCGGACTGGCTGCGCCAAAACTTTAGCACTTAATATTTTCTTTACTTCTTGGCTTGTGTTTTAGGCGTTCGTTTTGCCTTTTTGGCCATGGGGCAACGCTTAGCCAGGCTTTAAGACATTCGCTGTTTCGTTTTATTTATGGCCCGCGCGCATTTCAACTGCATTTTTGACTTATTTACGTACCTTGCACTTCCGCTCCAGCTGCCCTCGGTGCGACGCATTTGTTTTCAGCCGGCCAAAAGTACGCACTGCAAGGCAAAAGCGGAAATTATATATTTTTAATAAAGCATTTTCTCTAATGGATTGTGAGTTGTTTGTCTGTTTTATTTTTGCTGACAGGTGCTCTGCCAGTGCAATATTATGGTAGCAACAGCTTTTAATATACTTAGGGAATATTATTATTAAGAAATAATTGCGTTCAAAGCTGCTTAAAAACATTTTCTTAAAGATTATTTTTCACTTTTTCACACATTATTATGAAATGTATTTCTTTTAGTTTGTAACAGACCTTTCTAAATTTATATACATATATTTTTTTATTTTTATATATATATATTATATTCATTTAGAGTTAAAAAAAAATTAATATTATGTTTAATGTTTTTCCTTTAAAAGCTCTGCAAGTGCAGCACTATTTAAGGTGAAAATAGTTTTTTTTTTCAGGAATTAATATACTTCAGAATTTTTCAAAAATATTCAAAGAGCTCTTTAAAATATTTAGTATAAAAATGCTTAAATAATTCCATTAATGTTAGTAGTTTTTTTTTAAACTGATATATGCACTTTAAAATTTTACAAACAAATTCAAAGAGTTCTTAAACATATTTCATATAAAAATTCTTTATCTAAAATTGGTTTTTTGTTATTTGTTCTGTCAGATATTTTATATTTTCCAAAGAGCTACTCAATCGAGTCTAAAATTTTTTTTTTGTTGTCTGGCATTTATTTGTTTCAAGCACAAAAACCATAAATTATGAAATTTATTAAGCATTTAATCGAATAACGGCGCACAATAATGTTATTTTATTTCTAATATGCTTAATTCCCACAGAAAATAACATTAAAATCTGCAATTGTGCTGCATTACCAAAAAATAGTTTTGCATAATTAAGCCACATGCATTACCAGATGCATCACACACACACACACAGACAAGCACACACACACACAGACAACCGCATAGGAATGCATTTCAATGCGAGTTCAACACATTGTCATAACTAACACAAACTTATTTATCCCCGGGGTCCGATTTATATTACTTCCCCGTTAGCAGCCTTCCCCTGCCATCCCCTCCCCTCCCCCCTACCCGCTGGCCAGGCCCATTGGCACACAGATGCACATTCGTACTGTCCGGAGGTTACAACTCCAAGGTCTGTGCTGTAAATTTATCAGTGTCAAAAATAATAGCGCGCCCGTTTTCGCTTTTAATAATTTCCCTCGGCAACGAGCCGAATGCGAGCATTTGGAGCGGAAATTGCTGCTCGAGTTGGAGAAACGGCAATAGAAAAACAAGTTACAGTGCTTAGCTCAATGATCGACTAAGAGATACTCTTGCAGTGTGTAAGCACATGATTTACAATTCTAGCTGTTTCTGAGGAAGTTAAAAATGATATTTCTTGCTCGATTTTTGAATATTACTTTTCCAAGGAACTCAAATGACTATAAATCGATCAATCTAAGATTTTTATGTTATGTATATAAAATTTTATATATATATATATGTCTATTTGGTCGTGCTTTTAATCAGCTTTATTGTATTTGAGGTATGTTATAGGCCCCATGTTTAGAAAGTTGATTTCATAAAATATATTTAGTAAAAGCCAAGATGCGTTTAGGCTGCAAAACTGTTAATTTACAATTTATATTTTTCTATAGTTTTACAAATAAATAAAATTTAATGTAAGAAATAAAAATATAGAAAAATATAGTTTAATATTATTAAATCAAACTATATTTATCTATAATTTTTTAATTATATTAAACAATATTTTGTAAGCTATTTTGGAGTATAGTTTTCCTTATTTATTTTAACTATTATATATTTAACTATTTTTTTATATATTTTTTTCAGCTACACTGAAGTATATTTATCTATATTTTATCAACTATATTTTTCTATATTTTTACTTTTAAAAAAATATTGAATATGTTGTTAAATTCTCAAGTGTCTAACTTCATATATTACTATACATATATATAATGGATTTTTTTTCGTAATTATTTATATCTGCCGCACAAGGAGAATGCGAGCTGACGCGTGGATATGGTCTCAATATAAATATAATGTGGATAACACATGTTTCAAATAATTATAGTAAATATACAAGCTCTACCTCATTATATAATTGCATTGCGTATTACAGGGTATATTAATGCCTGCCAAACTACAGCAGTGGGGCATAAGAACAATGGTTCTGCCTTAGTGCATGCGCCGCAGGACACCGGGACGCCACATGCCATGCTCTACACACACTCACACACACACACGCACGCAGGCACACACTCAAGCACACACACACTTAAGTACACACACTCGGCAAGTATTTGTTCTATGGTGTGCCATCTAAATAATTTCAGTTGCGAGCGGTCGTCGCCTCGCGGCGTTTTTCGGTTAATGGAATTTGTGCAGCCCAATTGGGAAAGGAAACATTGCTCCAAAAATGTCCGGATGTCGCACGCGCATTTTGCACATTTACTTTTCCATTTATTTTATGAAAGGCAATGCATTTGTTTGCCCGCCCTGTGCCAACATCAAAGCCATCAATTATTTAATTAAAGTTGGCTTTGTGCTATGCCTGAAATCTTTTATTTATTCGCTAACTGCAAATTTGTTTGATTTCATCACAAAATTAATTTAATTGCGTTTTTTGTTAATATTGTTGAAATTTTTGAATGCGAGCAAATTATAGTTGACAATTGCAAACTGGCTCTTGTTTTGGGATTTTAGTTGATATTTTAATGCGACCGAAATTGAAATGACAGACATATCCATATTATTGGCCAATTGTGAACTTACTAAAAAACGACAAAGGTTTCCATAATTGAAGCCAGACGAACAGACGAACATGACGATATCAACTCGGCTGTTGATGCTGATCTAGAATTTATATACTTTATAGGGTCGGATATGACTCCTTCTATTACACAATTCATGACAAAATTATAATACCCTCTAGAAGGGTAATGTGGTAAGAAAAGAGTATAATACAAAATATGTTAGTTTATGCGCTTCACATATTTATGCGCTGATTGGACAGCTGAGCCTTTTTGGCATAAGTTTCTCTTCAAATGTTTCTCACTTGAGAATCTTTTTTAATATTTGACAACTGCTTGAGGGAAAAGTTTTTGTGTTTTTTTTTTTTTACCACAAATTCAAGTGCCAAGGGCTAAAATACTTTCCATTAGGATTTCAGTACCCTGCAGTTGGGCACATTAAGCAGAAACTTTGAACATAAATTCAAGACCCCACACTCATAAATACGAACAGACTTACATCGATAAGAGGCCGAAACTTGAGAGCTGCGAGCTGCGAGCTGCGACGTTCAAAGCATATAATAATAAATAAAATATGCAGCACTGTTGGCAAAAATTGCCAACTTTTTGTTCATTTCGCTTCGGTTTTTTTTTGTTTTTTTTTGTTGAAGCTATTGACTAAATACTTTGGCAAATTCATAAATTGAGGCACATCATAATAGCATAAATATTTAAAAGATCCAAAGATGCAAAGCAACGGGAAAAATTACTAAGCAAAATGCCCGAGAAAATTGAGTTGAAAACTTTGGCCTTTTTATTTGGGCAGTGCGTGCGCGGCATGTGGTCCACGGGGCCGGCAAGGGGAGGAGGGTCTCCAACTTTATTGACTTGATTTCTTTAGCAGCACAAGAAAGAAAGAATGAGCGTGGCGAGTGGTCAATTTGTGAATACCCTGTAAATAAAGAGAGCTGTTGAGTACGAGTTTCAGCTAGTTTAAGAAGCGCTGGTTCAAGCCCTGATTCCATGGCCCAAAAAGGAGGTTAGTCTAAGCTGCAAGCCATTGTCTCGTTTTAGAGTATCCTCTTGAAACTGATTTCTAGTTTAAGAAGCGTAGACGCTGGTTCAAACCCTGACCCCGTGGAACAAAAAGTTAGTTGGCTTAAAATAAGAAAAAATCTCTTGTTTTAAGGTTAGTTCCTTCATCTGATTTCTAGTTCAAGCAGCGCATGCAATGGTTCAAACCCTGATTCCTACAAATTAAGTTGGTTTAAAGTGCACACCAATATCTCATTTTAAAGACAGTTCTAGTAACTAATTTCTAGTTCCAGCAGCGCAGACGCTGGTTCAAATCGTGGTTCCATACTGATTGAAGCTGTGGCTGATCACAATTTCTTTGGAATCCTAAAACAAGTCATAACTGTACTTATTTTTAAAGAAGTTAATTTACTATATGCATTTTTTTAGTATTTAACTTTACCATTTTTAAACTATCGAATTTATTTTGGAATTCTTTTATGAAATTATTTAAGTTTAGGATTTAATAGTTGATATATATAAAAGTACTTAACATGAGAACTTTAACAGTCTCTAGTTTATAGTCACTATCTCAGGTTATCTGACTTTCACTTGTTGATCTGGAGCACATATAAACTTTTCGATCATTTGTGTACAGGGTATACGAACAATAACAGTTCCAAGTTGCCAGCTGGAAGTTGTTAGTTGCCACGCTTGCTTATTCATGAGCATTCATCAAAGCTCACTTAATGCTCCATATTGGCCAGGGCTTAAACAGTTTTGACCACAAACCCCGCACCCAAAAAAAAAAACAACAAACTTCGATATTTGGGAACGTCATGTTATAATCCACATTGATATTAAATGGCCACCAAAAGCAGGAAAAACTTTTCCATTCATATGCAGCAACGAACTCTGGCCACACTGTCTATTACCTTGACAATTAAGGCGCACGTGGGCGCGGCACATTGGAAAAGATGTTCGGCACGAGTCGAACTCAAGTCGAGTCCATTATTATAGGTCAAAAACAAACTGTAAGTGTGCTCTTGTGGGGAGTGCGCGACTAAGAGATACCCTAAGCCTTGAAGTAGCCTAGTTCTAAATGGACAGAAATATAACCTATGAAGTATGTAAACTGGAATTATTGGGAGTTCATAGTTTGATCTTTGTGAAATTGTGATAGCATTCAGAAGTGTATGTATACGAAAGGGATAGGCTCTTACTTTAAAAATTATGTTTTCTCTCTTTTCGGGTGATC